GACGCTAATCATTGGACCTTGGGGACAATTTTAAATGTGAATAATATTGCATTTCCTAAAGACGTAGGCGGAAAAGGGAACTTATGGGAAAGGAACTCTACTACTGAAACTTGAGGCCATTAGCCGCATGACTACGAACGTGCTTTTAAACAAGGTAACGACTTATTTGAAAGTCATTGCAGAGATTCTTGCCCGACCTTAATGTACACATTGCGTAATAACAGAAATCAGGTCTCAAGGTGTTCTGCATTTTAAGGTCTTGTTCATTGCTGCCACTGTTTTTCCGCAATAGCTTTATTCATTTTTTTTCTCTTATCAATCATTGAGTTTCTCCGATATGACAACATTCCGTGTCTCGCGCTTTCTCTCTTTTTGCCTTCTTTCTTTGCTTCCTTTAATAATTTTGCAAATTCATTTTGTATATTGGAGAATTTATCTTTTGCAAATTAATTTAGTTTGTAAAATTTAATTGTTAGTTTTATTTTTAAGTAAATTTAGCAAAATTAATTGCTAATTTGATTGCTACTAAATTTGTAATTTTTTTTTCTTAATGGAGGTAAAAACAAAGTTTTGCTTCCTGTCAACGTATATAAATAAATTTCATTTAGTGGTGGATAAAAAAGTTTATCTCAAGGATGTAAAATTAACACCACGGCGAACAATATTATTATTTTATTTTCACTTTAGATGGGTCATTAAAATTCAAATAACAAATATTTTCTTTTGAGTACTTTACAGTTTCTTTGAATTTTATTTTTAACTTTTACATTTTTTGTGGTTTTATTTACATATAGTTATTTATAAATATTTTATACATTCTTGTGGTTCTGAAATTTTTTTTTAAATTCCCTGCAATTTTTTTTTATGAAATTTATATTTCTGGGAAAATTATTCTGAATGGGGAAATTTAATTTTAGTTGAAATTATATAATTAGATGAGCTTTATATATATTAAATTATGTATATGCTTTTGTAGAATGTTTTTAAAAGTAAAAACACTGTTGATAAATATTTGTAAAATTTTCATTTTTTATTTTTGTTTGAAAAAAAATTTAGAGAATTTAGTTTTATAATTGTTTTGGAAAAATTTTTAAAAATTAATTAAGTTTTTTTTATCATACGAGTAATGTTAATTAAACATGTGACATTAGCGACATTTTGAATGTGTTACTCGGAGAGTTATTTCTTTCAAAAGTGCCTCCAATTTATAGTAGATGTCACCACTCAGACAATTATTTCGAATTGTCATTGAGCGCTGAATTTCATTCATTATTTTACTTTGCTTCTACTTTTTTATTCCCATTAAAATTTATATCATAGAAACAAAATTTTTATTTTTTGAAACAAATAATACTTTTATTTTTATTAATAATATAATTTTTTGTTATTAACATATTTAGTATTTTTAATATATTTTCGAAAAACTTGATAAGATAAATTAAATGACATTAAATTAAAAGGTATAATTATACGTTATTTTGAAAATTTTATAATTCAGAAGATAATTAAAGAAGAAGAATTAATAAATTTTCCATATCTTTCTGATTATACTTCGAAATATAATTTATATAATTTATATAATTAATAATTTAATGCATTTTCACAAGAATGACATTTATATTTAGAAGTTATAATATTTAACGAAAAGATTTCAAATAATTAAAAGATTTAAAAATATATTAATAAATTTTATTAAAATTTTATTACATATTCAACTGTAGTAATGAAAAAGTAATTTTATGAATTGTATATAAAGAAAAGGAGAAAGAAATAACCGATTACAATTAACGCGTTATCACATTATTCTCCAATAATTTCTAGACAGATTTTCCCAATATTATAAAATTTAATTGGGTTATTCATTTCAATTGAAAAGTTTCGTTCTTGACTTTATGAAAATTCTCATTGAGAATTAATATTTACTAATTATGCGAAAATAGTTATGCAATAATGTAATTATTTTATTATAATAATATATTTATTCTGTAATTTATGTTCCAATAAATTAAAAATTAATGAACGACTGTAAATTTTCCCGCTTGGCTTGATAAATTTTTAATTATACATTTTTTTGCTTTTTTGAATTAATTTATTTTTTTGTAGTTTTCATAATTTGTTTCTCTGCAGTAATTGATAAATTTATTGCTTATTAATAATGTAAAAACTAGAAAAGTGAGAAATTTATTTTTGTTTATTTTCCCACTTTTTATTTCATTATAACTTTCAGAATTTTAGGAATATAAATATTTAATGAAACTTTGTGTTTAAACAAAGTGAGATAGAATTATTTTAAAGAGAATTGTATTAACAAAAAGGGTAAATATTTTTTCGTTTTGGAAGAAATCCTTTTGCGCTTATGAACAAGGAAATTGTACTGTGGAATGTTTTACAAATGTAATGAGAGATCCCTAGGGACTACACTTCATACATATATTCCTTCTAAAGTTACGCTAAGGGTTAAAATATCAGATAACAAGTGAAGTAGCTTGCGCTTTACCTGCAGAATAAATCAGTTCACCTCTAAATTAAATTAAATATTATCTAGTTAATTAAGTAAATTTATTAGAATACTTTTGTCACATTTTTTAAACTATTATGTTTTGAACGTTCAAATTAACGTATATTTTTTGTTTGTACTCTTAATTTACATTTTTTACCCTTATTTTTTGTATATTTTATACATTGAAAAAAAGTTTATTTGATTCAAGTAAATGATTACTTGTCTAATGTCAAATAAATATTTATTTTTATCAAATAATTTTTTATTTGAGTCAATTAAAAATGGTATTTTCTTTTATTGAAATTATTTATTTAAACACTAAATATCGAATATTAGACGCAAAAAATACGTTTTACTATTTTAATATAAACTAAAACCTTAACTGTATAAAATTTTTATGCACGACTGTGGTAAATTTTATTGCATCCAAAATAAATTTTACGAAATTCAGCAAAATTTACTTCAGAAATAGTAAAATTTACCCAGAAAAAAGGAAAAAGTAGAATAGCGCAGAAATTGTAGAAAATTTCGGTTTTATAATTATAGTATGGTAAACATTACTTTATTCGTTTTCTATTAAAATTATTACAAAAGACTTATTCTAGATTATTTATAAGAAATATATTAAGAAATAAAATTATAAGAAATATTTATAGGAAATGTACTTATTTCTAAGAAATAATTTTCTAAACAAAGGAATTTTATTTTGAAGAGATAAATTATTTGATCCATCGAATGTACGAAATGATCCTTGTGCTTGTAGATATTAATGTTGCGTTTCTGTCCACTAAGTTCCATCGATTGGAAACTGTAATGGACACCCACTTCCTGATTGATTGAAATAATCTATGGACAACCTTGACGACCCCTGAAATTTACTAACACGCTCTATTGTTAATCTCCTGAAGCTTGATAGCAATTAGATATAATAAACCTCTTTTAACTGAAATGCAACAATATTCCAACCCCATTTCATTTAACAAAATAAAAATTTTGCCTTATTCGAAAGATTAATGAAAGTTAATCTCGTGGAATAACACGATAATAAATGATGATGTTAAATTCTGAATCAAAAAGTTAAATTTCAAAGCACTTAAGTAGTAATAGACGCTCACTGTCAGACCAATTGAAACTTCCTAGAAATTCTCTCTCTCTTCCACAGTCAAAATCAATGTATTCTCTAAATATCTGAATCAGCGAAATTCCTCCTACCACAATGAAAATTGTACCAGAGAACGATGAATCAGTGTATTTTAGCATCTAAATTTCAACGATTCATCTAGAGGCAATTAGAGGAATACACAACGTTTTGTAACAATGTAAAACAATGTTGAGATTTTAATGAATAAGAACCAATTTATTTGAAAATTGTCTATCTAGATTGAAATATGCTCTCTGTTTATTATTAGAAACTGTAATTGTTTTTCCCAAAAAACCACTAAAATTGGTTGCAATTTGTATGCATGTATGTATTTGGGTGTATAATAGAGGACAATAGTGTGAATGGTCTCATCGACGCTGATTGGATCAGTTCGCATATAGTCGCAACCTCAAAGTTGTGCGGCAATATGCCTAATAATGCAACTCCAAACCCCTTCAAGACATCCCGCAAGCCGCAAATCGTAATAGACAACCTCCTTCCAAATTGATTGGAATAGACATCAGTAATTTCACTTCGTAAAGCCATCATGATGATTGCGGTCTGATGGTATAGTTTCGATGTCGGTAAATTCGAAAACAACAACGAGCGATGGATGATAAACGGTAAATAGCAATAAACGGCAAATGCTCTCTCGTTCTCAGCAAATAGCTTTCAATAATAAATCGTTGCCAGCCGTCCAGCGGCATTCGTCGGGCCACCCCATTCCAACTCTCTATATACTCTTCTCTTCCTGCCAACCCCCTCGAAAACAGTGTTAGTGGCAGGAGAATTACGTAAATATCATGGTGGTAGTAGCTGGCACAAATATACATCGTGGTGGTAGTATCAAGACGCATCATGGTGGTAGTGGAGTGCTACTAGTATTAGTAGCAGCAGAAGCAGAAGTATTAGCGGCAGTAGTATTAGTAGCAGTGGCATCATCATCTATGGTGGTAGTAATGGAAACAGAAGCATCAATAACTGGTGGTAGTGGGTACACCTATAACACTGGCAGTCGGTACGCGCGAGCAGTTAGCGAGAGTAGGAGAACGCGCGCCGGCCGTTAACTCCTCACCCTCACTAACCCCTTTTCCCCCTCGATCTACCCCTCATCCACGAGCATCACAAACCTCTCCTCCGCCTCCGCTTATCCCCCTTTTCGCTAAACCCTTATTCGCAGTTGCGCCCGCAATACCCGCGGCGATTTGCCCCTAAAGCCCCCCCCTCCCTCCCCTTGGCCCACCCCCGCGTTCAAACGATGCTGTGCCGTGCTTTCCTACCGCCATCACCTCCCCTCCATCCCCCCTCTCTTTAGTACCGTCAACCCGCCATTACCACCACCCGCTCGTTCGTCCGTGTACCCTAAATCTCGCGACAATCAGTCAGTAATCGGGCGTCAACGGGCTCGGGCTAGGACGCGCGCGCGTCTCTCCCCATCTTTCTCTCTCTCTCTTTCTCTATCCATCTCTCTTCATCCCGTATTTGCCTTTTTAAAAAAACTTGAGAGAGAGAGAGTATGTGTGACACCCGAGTCTATGGCTAACTAACGACCCCACTATCGTTAACTGTCCATGAAACACGTGCTGCTGCTACTGCTGCTGCCGCTGTTTTTTCTGCCGGTTTCCTTCTCTCGACATCCTCCCCCCTCCCTCCCTCAATCAACCCCTCTCTCTATCCAATCAAGCCAGTAAGTAACGCTTCGCGTGCGCACGTGGTTCCGCCGGCTTGTCTCGTCGCGGATGACCTAATCATTGACAATTATGTTCTTGGTGATCAGTGACGATTTATCATCTGCTTTTCGAGCAGATGAGAGAGGGTGTTGTTCCTCCTCCTGAGAGCCATTTCTCGCTTTCTTTAGATCCACTTGATGGAATGTACTCTCTGCCATATGTGATTCTTTACCAGTGATGTGGAATTTTAAAAAGCATTCTGAGAAGTGATTTGTGAATTGGTGATTTTGATTCTGGATCTGGTTATGTATTGAATCGAGGAGAATCTAATTAGTTGTAATTCAATTAAGATTGGATATTTTCGGAAGATTGCAGATCAATTAGATTGTAGTTCGATATGGTAGATTATAGTTTAAGATGCATTAGATTAGTTCAAGATGCATTAGATTAGTTCAAGAAGCATTGAATAGTTCCAGTTGCAGTAAATAGTTCAAGAAACATGAATAGTTCAAGAAGCATTAAACATTTAAAGATACATTAAATATTTAAAGATACATTAAATATTCTGTGCACTAAAATAGTTCAAGAATTAAATAATTCAAAATGCATTTTATAGTTCAAGATGCATTAAATAATTCCATAAGAATTAAATGATTCTAAAAGAGTTAAATAATTCCAGAAGAATTAAATAACTTCAAAAAAATTGAATATTTAGAAACATTCAATATTTTAAGATGCATTAAATGGTTCAGAATTCATTTAGAGAATTATTTTTGAGGATAGATTCAGAAGATTATTGTTCGGCAAACATCAAAAAGGTTGTTGTTTCGAAAATATTCAGAAGACAATAAGAAAATTGTCGTACAGAAAATATTGAAAAGAGTGTTGTTTGGGACAAATTTTTAATGTTCAGAATACATTTAGAACATCATTATTTAAAATACATTTAGAAGATTATTGTTTAAACTTCAACGAGAAGATTTTTCAAGATTTTTCAAGATTTTTCAAGAGTTTCAAGATACATTCAGAAGATTAATTCAGGATACATTCAGGAGAATTAGTTCAGGACACATTGAGAAGATTTGTTCAGAATACATTTGGAACATTTGTTCAAGATACATGCGGAAGATTTGTTCAGGATACATTCAGATTATTGATGGAAACATATTGAGATTATTGATGGGAATATATTGAGATGATTATGTCAAGGACATATCGGCAGGATTTATTACATCAGTTGGACAACGCATCATTAGTGATGGCACTTGTGCTGCGATTTATCTAAAAATTGTTACAATTGATAAAAAGTTTTCGATATTAGTGGGGATTTATGAAATATTCAGTTATCTTCTAATTTCTTTTTCATAAAGATTGAATTTAGAACGAGCAGCAATCGACGTCGACCTTCCGATTGGTTTTTGTAACTCCAATATCCGATCAATATTGAATATCAACAGGACCTGGTATTTCAACAGGTTCTAAAAACCCACTGGGATTTAATATTCTAGCAGAGGCTGATAAGATATTAATACAGAGTGCTGTCATATCAACGGGAGCTGGGAACTTAACAAAAAAAGCGAAACAAGAAAGCTAAATTATTCCTCACTCTTGAGGAATGTAGTTTTATTGGAAATCGGAAATATTCCCGAATTGGTGATTTTTTAATGGAATTAGTCAGTATTAGTAGTAATAGTTAGTAATGACAATTGTAAAACAATAGTAATAACAAATTGGTTCAACAATCGGTGCAATAATCGGTTCAACAATCGATTCAATTATCGCTTCAATAATTGGTGCAATAATCGGTTCAACAATCCGTACAACAATTTGTACAACAATCAAGGTAATTTATTTTGAATGATCTTTTTTTGTCAAAATAGTTGAGTGATTCTCCTAAACAGAATAGTACTAATGTATCAAGAGTGATATTGCAGATCCGTTTACATTGCAAACAAAGGAAATGAAATGTTTAGAATTCAACATGAGTAATTCGTAACAAAGGGAAAAATGAATTTGAAATATTTAGGGGAATGTGACAAAACGGATCTTGAAAAGATGTTTTCAGTTGATTTCAAGATTAATAGCAGTCGTGAAATGTACTTGTACTGTGTTGGAAGGTCGTGTGTAAACTCAAAAGAGAGTTGGGGATATTAACAAAAAGGAAATGAGTGCATCGTGTACAAAGTGTTGTGTTCAGAAATGGACTTGAAGCCCCAAAGTGTTGTTAGTGACACCTGTTGACAAGAAAGTCGAGAGGGATGTGCGTTCATCGCGATGGGATAAGAAGGTGATGATGAGAAATTTTTTCTCAAGTATGTATTTTAATTAATGAAAAGAGAGAATAAAATAACTACACGATTTTAGTAAAAATTTTTGATATAAATTGTAGCGGAGAATTGTAGAGAAAGAGAGAGAGAAAGGGAATTAGATTGATCGATCAGGAGCCCTAAAGTGGTTCGACAAACAAGTTGAGTTTGAGTACTTGGCAGACCTTTGTTCGTGATATTCAGCATTTGAGCGTTATTACAGAGAGAGAGACCCCCACCGCTTTTCTACTGCAAGATTTAATTAAGCTCGGCAGATTCAGTGTCGCGGTCGGCCTCCTGGGAATGGACCCACGAAGATCCCTTAAAAAGCGAACTTACGAGGGGAATTTCATCCCTCGATTTTGTCGAGAAATTCATAGGCGCGTCGTTTGGAATGGCTTATCAATGAAATTAAATTACCACAGTAAGAGCAGATTAAATCAATAGCGACCAGAACCGGGGTACACTATAATCGAGCCGTCGATAAGTCGTCTCAGTTGAATTAATCGTGTAAACATTAAACGCGCAAGCGTTTCGTGTGTTCGATCTGATAAAGTTAACCGATCGAGAGCCACTTAAACCCATCCATTAAACTCAAACTGCACGTAGCTAGCTGGAGATTTACTCTAGGCAAACCGTCCTACAATTATGTAGTAGGTGTACGAGAAATAATTTCGCTTCGGCTAACGGTGAACTCTAAAATCGCCCCAGTTAGCCTCCCCCAAGAAAGTAATATCGCCGATGTCCTCGTCGCAAGATGGCAGAAACCGATAAGCGTAAGACAAACGATGACGAACCCAGTTCACCCCAAGAGACAATAATTTCCTGTGACAACAACAACGAGACAAAGACAAGTTCGCAATTCTTAAATAGCGAACGCACAAGGTGTGAATTAACGGTTGACGGTTCAGTACCGGTTGACAACCCCGGCACCACCATTAGGATCGGTTCTTGGCACGATCACGTGTACGCAACGCCGCCTCGAACCCCAACACCGCACCGAATCAGCGATATTCTAGGTTGGAGTAGACCCTCATCAGGAGCCACCAAAGGGCACATCTCCATAGGGATGGGCTCCACTAAGCTACTGGCTCCGACCCCCAGGAGATTTACCGGAAGTCCTTTAATTCGCGCTCCACTGCCTATTTATTCGCCCTTGCCGGCTCACTCGCCAGCCTCAATTCAAGGCAGTTTGACGTCTCCCCCATGTACGCCGAGTCCTGCATCTCCGCTCATGTCACCCTCATCAATCGCCAGCATTGGAATATCGTCGCCAAAATTACAGTGCTCTGAACAATTATCGAGGCAAAGTGTTACGGCTTTTCAATTGGCGAATGCCAATGACAATACATCGGCTATTCATCTTGATGAGATGAATGACGATAGGCCACTCAATTTGACGACCACTTCACGAGTCAGAAGTCCATCCACATCGCCGAGCTCGTCTATTCTCAGTGGACGCTCAGTGTACTCGAGGTCTTCACCTACCATGTTCCGTGAGCCGCAGACCGAGCCCTACATCCTCGGAGTTCACCGCAACCCACACCATGGCTTGTCTCATCAACCTTATGTACATAATGGAAGGCAGATTGTTGCTGACGTTGCTGCACCTGCCTCGTCTGGAAAAGGCATCAGATCCAGCGCTAAGGGTGAGCTTGTACAATTAATCATTTCATGCCATGAATATTATTGCGAATATTTAAATCTTCTTTTTTGTTGATCATTTCTTATGATTCTAGATTAGGAATAGTTGTTGGTAAATGCTTATCTGAATTTTAGATTTATGATGAATAAATTGATTGCTATTTTAGTGGCAAATAAATTGGTCCTTATTTAAGGAACAAAAAAAATGGTCTTTATTTAAGTGGCAAATAAATTGGTTGCTATTTGAGTGAAAAAAAAAATTGGTTACAATTTAAATAAAGAATAAATTGGCTGCTATTTAAATAGGAAACAAATTGGTTGCTACTTGAGTGGCAGAAAAAATTGGTTACTATTAAAGTAGAAAATAAATTGGTTGCTATTTAAATAAATCGGTTGCTACTTAAGGGGAGGTTCTCATTGCAGAGGCCAAAATAAACACAAACTTTGACAATTTTTTGCAAAGAACGGCTATGACTTAGCGATTTAGTTTTTTTTCTAAATAAAGATACATTCTTGAACTTTTACAACATATATTTCATTTTCAAAAAAATGCAAAATGGCGGCCAATATGGCGCATCTAGAAAATAATGTTTTTTTAAATAAGGAAAACGGTGGGCATTCTACACTGCGCAATTTTTAGTCTAAAACAGAAACTCAAAATTTTTTATAAAGATGACATCCTAAAGAATAGGTTATACCTATAAAATAGTTAAAAAGTTAACAAAATGACAAAATGGCGGACACATTTTTAAAAAAAACTGCGTTTTTGCATTATTTTTCCATATTTGACCTCTTGTAAAAATCTGTATTGTTAACAATTTTATCATATTATAGGTATAACCCCTGTAGAATTTAGTTACCTTTAATAAACCACAAACCCGAAGTTGATTGATTAAATAGTTTAGACGCTACGATGCCCACCAGTTTAAAAAATCTTGTTTCGAGAAAAACGCGTTTAGCTTGAAAAACATTTTTGTGCAATAATTGTATTCTTTGCAATTCTTTGTTCAATTTGCGTATATGATAAATATCTATAGGTATTTAGGGTCTCTCTTTACGATTCTGAGGTCAGATTTGCAAAATTTTTAAAAATTGATGTGATTTGCCTGACATTTGTTACTTAGTGCTCGGGACGTCGGTTAGTTCAAGACTCTATAAAATCGAAAATATTCTTCGGATCAAAAAATCGGTATACACACATATTCTACATATATATAGCTTTCAAAAAATACAATAAAAAAGAAATCAATTTTTTTGACTCCCGCGATGGGAACCTCCCCTTAACTGGAAAATAAAGTAGTTACTATTTAAATAGAAAATAAGTTGGTCTTTATTAAGGTAACAAATAAATTGGTTGCTATTTGAGTAGAAAATAAGTTGGTTGCTATTTAAATAAATAATTAATTGGTTAAGTTTTAAGTGACAAATAAATTGGTTGCTATTTAAATAAACAATTAATTAGTTAAGTTTTAAGTGACATATAAGTTGGTTGCTAACTAAGTTGCAAATCAATTGTTTGCTATTTAAGTGACAAAAAAATTGGTTACTATTTAAATAGAAAATAAATTGACTGCTATTTAAATAGAAAATAAATTGATCGCTATTTAAATAGAAAATAAATTAGTTGCTACTTAAATAGAAAATAAATTGATTACTATTTAAATAGAAAATAAATTGGTTACCATTTAAGTAGAAAATAAATTGGTCTTTATTAAGGTAGCAAATAAATTGGTTGGTATTTAAGTATAAAATAAGTTAGTTGACATTTAAGGAACAAACAAATTGGTTTTTATTTAAGTAACAAATAAATTGGTTGCTATTTAAATAAACAATTAATTGGTTAAGTTTTAAGTGACAAATAAGTTGGTTGCTAACTAAGTTGCAAATAAATTGTTTGCTATTTAAGTGACAAAAAAATTAGTTACTATTTAAATAGAAAATAAATAGGTTGCTATTTAGATAGAAAATAAATTGATCGCTATTTAAATAGAAAATAAATTAGTTGCTATTTAAATAGTAAATAAATTAGTTGCTACTTAAATAGAAAATAAATTGGTTGTTATTTAAATAGAAAATAAATTGGTTGTTATTTAAATAGAAAATAAATTGGTTGTTATTTAAATAGAAAATAAATTGGTTACCATTTAAGTAGAAAATAAATTGGTCTTTATTTAAGTAGCAAATAAATTTGGTTGCTATTTAAGTACAAAATTAATTATTAATTAATTAAGAAGCAAATAAATCGGCTGCTATTTAAGTGGAAAATAAATTGGTTATTATTTAAATAGAAAACAATTAGTTGCTATTTAAATAGAAAATAAATTGGTAGCTAGTTAAGTGGCAAATAAATTGGTTGCAATTTGATTGGCAAATAAATTGGTACTAAAAAATTAGTAAATCTTTACTAACAATTTATTAGCAGAAATAAATTACTAAATAAGTATCTAATTACAAGACTATTGAAATAAATAATTAAATAAAAATAAATACAAATTTAATAAATAAATTAATTAATAAATTCATAAATATTAAAATATATAAATAATAAAATAACTATACGTAAATAACTTAAAGGTTTAGTTGTTTATTTAATTTACTTGTTTAATTAAACAAGTAAATACTAATAATAATTATATATAATAATACAAAAAATTTGTTTGTATATTTGCTAAAAAATATTGATTCACATAATCTCGAATAAAAAAAATGTAGCTCAACAAATATTTGTGGTTTTAGGTGAGCAGGAAAAATTTCAATTTAAAATAAAAGCTATTTGTGAAAAAAATTATTGGAGATATATTGAAGTATTTAATTTACATTCGCGTAGTTGCATCCATTTTTTGTGATTCGATACTTTTATGATATGACTTTTTTTGTTTTCCAATATAAATACGTACATACATAGTTATATTGACTATCTATTGTCAACTAAATTAACAAATTTTCATGGGTTATTTAAAACCCACCTGTGGATAAGTTTTCAGTATCTGCATCAACAGATGATAAAGAATGTATGGGACGCGTGTATATATTATGTAAATTAAAATAGTTGATAAATTTATTAAATAACAAAATTTAATGAGATATTTTTGTTTTCATTTTAAGAGAAATTTTCATTCTCGTAGATATTTTAGAGAGTTATTTATTTTTTCCTCCCTTTAACATTGTTGTATCATACATGTATATGTATATATACGCTTTTGAAATGAAATGTTGTTAATGTGATTTGTTTTAAAATCAATTTATTCGTGCGGTGTGCTTTCAATAAATTTTGAGAGAATTCGTTGGTACAACAATAATATCCTCAATATACAGGATCTATTGATATAAAAATTTAATGCTATAATACCTCCATTGATAAAACAATCTGTTGATATGTGAATATAATAATTTATTCTTTATGTGTATAGTTATATATTTGTGTGGTATAGATATATATGTTGTAAAGAGCTAAAACACTAAACACACTTCAGTTGCAAGCACTCTCTGTTTTTCGAATTTTATAGCTTTTATGGTTAACAATACTAAATTTAAATACCCTTTTAATACGATAATAATAAACGAACTGGAAACCAGCATTATCGAAACATATATTTCGATTAAAAATTCATAACTCTCTTTCTCTTTTCATTTAGAAAAGGAGGATAAATTTTATATATTTTTTTAATTAAAAGATATTAAATACGTGAAAAATTACAATTTTTATCAAAATTAATTTCTAATGACCAATTTAACTTTTTTTGATCCGTTTTTGCTTTTTATTGAAAAATTGTGAAATCTATTTTTAACATTCAATTTACAATGTTTCCATGTATTTTTAACTTTATATTTGCAATCTGTCAATTCATTTTATATATAATTTTTTTTTTTAAACTGTGTTGAAACATAAATATATTCTCGGTTAATTGAATTTTTAATTACAGGAGAGAATATTGTACAAAAAAAAATTTTTTTGTTGTGAATGGCATCGGGAGTTGGGAGTAAAGTTTTTAAATTAAAAATCTAGATTTTAAAAAAAGGGAGTTAATATTTTAGTAACGAAAGGATTCTATAAAAGTCGCCCGATTTTGGAATTATAATAAAGAGAGTAAAAATTTAAATATGGTTAAAATAAATGAAAATAAATATTGTATTAAATATGGTTAATTATATTTGATAGTAATTGCACGATGAATATTTATAATATGAGTTATATTATCCATAAAAAGCATGTGCCAATTTCGTCAAAATTTCCATTGATGATGGCTATAAGGATAATAGATTTATTGAGCATTAATTGAACCCTATAACTTATAATAATGGTTTACTGAACGCTTTTACAAAATCTGATGTTTCCTATTATGCAAACAATTATCCGGATTTCGAAAATTACATTTTCGACCGGTGAATTAATTGTGTACAATGATTCAGGAGAATAATTCACCGTTTATGTGAATATCTCTTTTTTAAGAGATATTTCTCTTTTAGAGAGAAACGAAAAAAAAAGAATATGAAATCGTTTATTTTTTTTTCTCTTTAGTGTTTTTCTAGAATAGTAAAAGTTCTTTTCACTGTTGACTTTATGTGGGTAATATTTTTTTTTACTCTTCTCACTTGAGACGTGTCATAGGGAAAAAATATCACTTCAATTTTACAATCCGTTTGTAATAGATTCTCAAGCATATTTATGGAAAAGAAGACAAACAATTGGAATAAAAATTTGTCTAAAATTTATATTTTTGTATTTTCAATTAGATGGAAAATAATTTAGAATTTTTTTTTGACATTTACGAAAATAATTGAACTTTGGAGAAGAATTTTGTTATTTATAAAGATAATTGGGTTTTTTGCGAGAATTTTTTTCAAATTTTGAACATAGTTGAATTTTATAAGAAGAATTTTATTTTTTTTTGAAGAACTATCATAAAATTATTACTTGTAAATTATTTAATGAATAATTTTACTTAAATATTTCAAAATTAATTGAATTTTTAAAGAGTTACGTTTACAATATTTCTGAATAATT